TTTTTTTTTTTTTAATTTGGACCATTTCTCGATTTATGCGTGTCATCCTTGCGCAGGGGCCATGCTAATCTTCTCTGTATCGTTCCAATTTTAACAGATGTCCCGAAGGACGAGACCGGTCCAGGTTCTAGAAAATGACCAAGCATGTTTTTGGGTGCGCCTGGGACTCAGAGTACTGTACCAGGCACCCCACAAAAAAAAATTGAATTCCACCAAAACGGGGTTGAACTGGACTGGACCACGGACCCTTATATCCCGCTTTAAAACGAAAAGGGTTTTGTCTTCGGGTTCAAGCAGGAGGGCAATTCACGCAAACAAAACCATCTCGTCAACACCAAGCATGCACAATGCGCATGCTGGGTATTTCACAGTCTGGAGTACATCATCACGAGTTGACGGATGTTTAACAGAGCCTAAATTTTGTCCTTTCTCATAGATTTTGTTAGTTACGAAACCCTAAGAACTTAAATTTGTTAAAACCATTCAAATTTCAGACAAAACTTGCCGCAAATCCATACGGTGAAAACCAAACAAATCAACAGCAAAAGGTCAAAATTTAGAACCCTAAGGCAAATGCTTTTCCTAAGTTTTTCATGAAAATTTCACCGGCAAATTGCGGCAACACTGTTTCAGTTTTTTTATCACGATTTTGAAGACTCGCCAAAACAGATATTACCAAGGCCTCAAAAAACACCAAACTCGAGACACATATACAGTGACCCAAAGAACAAAAGAACAACAACAACAACAACAACAACAACAACAACAGGGCAACAGAAAACTAGAAACAAAAAAAGAAAGAAGTTGAAGCTAAAACGCATACAGTTGGAACGCCCCAAAGTTTCCCAAGTCCCTGTTCCATCTCTCTCTCTCTCTCTCTCTCTCTCTCTCTCTCTCTCTCTCTCTCTCTCTCTCTCTCTCTCTCTCTCTCTCTCTGCGTGTGTGTGTGTGTGTGCCTGTATGTCTCTCACAGACTGTCCATATACAGAGAACGATAAAGCTTCCACTAACAAAGCAACCGCAACCAGGACGGATGGACTAGAGGAGATGTACTCGATGCAAATAACGACAACGAAAGAGGAGGAAAGGAGAGGACTGGAATGGGAACAGAGCGCTAGGGTAGACCAACCTTTCTGAGCATATCTAGCTGTTCTTCTCGTAATCCGAAGCAGAGATCCTGCCCTGCATCACGAGGGGGTAGTCCTGTGATAACCTGGGGATTCAGTCCAACACATACAGCATCAACGATCAGTCCGTCACACTCCATGTATGGTGAAGTGTGTTGGCTCCACTCCTCCAAAAACAAAGAAGAGAAAAGGAGAAAATGAAAACGACCTCAAAGAAGACAGAAGCAGGAAAAACACATGGACTGTTGCACTAGTCATTGTAGTCATTGGTAAGAGAACGCCACGCTTACAACGGCAACGCCACAACAGCATTGGACTTGATTTTGTGTGAACTCAATGAGTAAGCAATCAACTGGTTGACCATGCAAAAGATATGTTTCCTCTTTCTCATCCAACTCCCTTTGCATAACAATGGGTCCCACTGCACACTCACCAAACGCATGAAATGCCGAGTGTATCTTCAAAGGTGGACAGATAAAACAGCCAGTTTGGTTGTCGCATTTGTCGAGCAGTGAAGTAAGGCCCAATATCAGGACTCCTACAGGTATTTCCCAAGACTTATGATCCTGAACCCTAAACCCTAAACCCTAACCCTAACCCTAACCCTTAATCCTCAACCCTGTGTTTTCTTGCACTCGCTCGAAACCTGGAATGGCAGAACAAACAAACAAACAAACAACTACAATAGCTAACACAACGCCTACCACAATGCCTGACACAATGCCTTACAAACAACGCACAACACCAAACGCATTGTGCTGAACACCAAATGCTCATTGAAGTTGATTGAACCTCATTCTCCTTTACTTGAAGGCACACACACACACACACACACACACACACACAAAAAAAA